GGAAGAGATAAAGAACACTGCCCCACCTGGTTTTAACAGATGGTAACAGAACACGTACTTTTGGTTACATCTTGCATTGCAACCCAAGACAGATGTGCTTGCAGAAGGGGAGACTAATTTTTAAAAACTACTTTTTGAAATTCTGGATGTGCTTTCCTCATCAAGTTCCTGCAGGCATTGAGGGATGGTTTTCAGGACACTGGATTTTTCTGAATTATAACTTTTCAACAAATACTAATTTAGCAAATGAAATTGGATAGAGCTTTATTTTTCTCTGACCTAAAAGTGTAAGGAAAATCATCTCTCATTAAAATAATTGCTTAAGCACATAACACCTTGAAGAAAGAATTGCCACTCTGACCTGTCATGTTTACCTTCTGTTTTAGAAGTGATCTGATTGTTTCTTCTGAAGAACCAAAGGTGATATGAGCGTCTCTGCAGTCAGTGGAGTTTCTTCCATGCAATGAAGGAGTGTTTTATTTTTCTCTCCAGTTTTTTAAAGATTTCTTGAATACCTTTTTTGGAAGGACTTTAGTAAAACCAGCAGAAGAAATGAGGGGAATAGACTTGGATCACCATTCTAATAGCTTTCATCACTAGAAAAATCATGCTTCACATGCGTTACTTAATATGGCTATTTCCAACAAGCTTTTTTTGTTAGTAAATGAATATTTCTTAAGACACAAGACACTGGAATCTGAAAGTAACGGGCTGATTTGGGTGGTGGGACTGATTCTTTTTTGTTTTTAAAAAAGGTGGGTGTTGGTTTAAAAGGCATAATTGTAAAATTGGCAAAGAATCTTTTACACTTTGTGGTTCTAATACTTGAAAAATAAATGCCTCATTGCTCTACAAGTAGAGTTAATGAGGTGTTTTATTTAAACCTGTTGGTTTAAATGTTATTGCAGAGAACTCTAATTATGGGGGCAAACTATAGGCTTCTGTATCAGGTTCTTGTAAATGTAATTCCTACAGGGACATTCTGTAAATTGAGACGTCACTATGATTTTCTCACGTTTTCTCTAAAAACACAAAACAAGACAGGTTTTAAAATGTGAAAATTTGAAAGCGTTATTTTTTCATGGACAAGAGTAAAAACTATTGTTCTCCTAGATTATGTATTTATGAATTTTGCTCAGTACAGAAAGAAATCATTTAACTGAATAAATTAGACAAATGTGGTAAAAAAGATACTGCAAACTTGATTTTTTTTTAGTTACATCCAATTTCACAATACTATAAAAGACGTGTATGCATATGTGCACACACATACAGTGAAATACCTTGTTCTGAGTCCTGTAAATTGCTGCTGTTCCCAATGATGGAAGACTTTTCCTTTGCCTTATCAGACTATTGAAGACTGTGTGGAACCTGGGATATTTGAGTTTTGGATGATGATGCAGGTTTGGGGATTTTTGGGGTTTGCTCGTTTCAGAGCAAATGGAAAATGGTCATTTTGCTTTTTTATGTAGTGTGTGGTTTTTATAAAGCAGTGCAGTTTGAGTGATAAGAAGAGCGATGCAGGTTGCTTTCTCTTTAGTTTGATGCTGATTTCTACTGTCATTCATTGTTCCATCCCACACTTTTGGTTGCTGTTGTGCAGAACTGTAAAATCTTGCACGTTTTTGTGCTTTGCTAAACAATGCTGTTGGAGGCAGAGCTCGCTCTGGGTGTTTGAGTTTGAAGCATTGCCGAAGGCTTGAGGCATTGCTCTCTGAATCACTGAGAAGATCCTTGGGTAGGGGAAATGGAGGTTCATGGGCTCTCAGCTCTTGCTAACAGAGAATGTACCATTAAGATTCCTGCACTTGCCTTTAGTGTGCACTGAGCAAGGCCTCTAGGTAGCTGTGCAGGAAGTCTGTGCTAGCAGAAGAAATCCTCTGAGATAAGAGCCGAAGAATTTTTGAAGAAATTTCTGCTGCTGCCAAGTGTTCATCTTATAGAGGAGATGGGATAAAAGCAATGGAAATAAAATGAAAGAGACTTCATCTGCCGGAATATTTATGGAAAGGAAAAAACAGCCATCCAGTCAGAGTGCTTTCAATAGTAACTTGTGACACAGTAAAATGAATTGGGTTCCTTTCTTGCTTTCTTTAGTTTTCCATGTACATAGCCACAATATTTTGAAGTGTCCAAAATATGTAGTTTTTCTTTAAAACTATATATAGCATGTAAGTACCAAATAAAACTTGTTTGAAATATTTATTTCTACTTATATTTTCATTTTCTTGCATAATTGAAGCAAGAGTCAATCTGTTTTGGAAAATTATTCTTGCTGCTCATGGTCTGCTTAAAACTTTGCGTCAGGTTTCCTCTAATTTCTTTACTAAAAAATCAGAGATGCAATAAGAAAGAGAGCAAAGAGATAGACAGTTGCATATAACTTCGGTTTTAAGCCTTAGGATTCATTTAGGATCAGGTGTAAATTGTGTTGATCTTGAGCTATTTAGGATTGGTTATAAATTATGCTCGTTTGTTTTTTGGGAGACTTCAGCACACTTAGCTTCAGTATTTGTGGAAAAATGGGTTGGCTTTATTTCTCAATTTTTTTTTTTTTGCTTTGTTTATTTTTTGTTTTTTTTTTTTTAACAGGGCTGTATTAAAAACAGTTTATGATTACAGTCAATCCACGTTAGCTACAAATGAGATCAAGAATTTCCTGTTTCAGCAGCCTGACATACAAAATAAAACCAAGGGAATTGAGAGTAGAAGTAGGTGCATGAATTTTTTAAAAAGGATTTAATATTGAATTTTAAAATCTTTTGGTTAAGCCTCTTTTAATGCAAGGAAAATAGTTTCTCTTCTGTTGTTGTTCTTGACAATAAAATATGTTATGGGAGGAAGGCCAGCTCCTCTGCCTGCTGTTGCAACTGGTTCTGTTCTTTGTACCATGAGGAGCAAGGTGGAACTGCTCCATGAGGTAGAAGTAGCAGGTGCAGACAGCTGTTGTGAGGGCTGGGAAGCCTTCCCCAGCAGAGAGCTGTGTGCTTTGGGAAGGCTCAGCTCCATGCTCCTGTCTCCACAGCACAGCATGGATGCTCACAGGGATGATACTCTCTGAGTTATTTCAATACATTGCAGCTGCTGCACTGCTCACCATTAGCTCTGCTTGCTTCATGTCTTTTATCTCCTCATTTCTGATGAAGAATGCTTTGTTATTTGCTTTCTTGCTAAGACCTTGAAATAATGTTTGAGATTAAATACCTAAGAATACAGATACAAGACACATTCTAATATCATTACTTAATATTGCACTGTTTCTTTTTGGAAATTGATCTAAAATCACCCATGGAGGTGTTTTGCAGTTTGAGATTTTTTTTGTTCCCAGGTGTGTCATTCACCCAGTCCTCTGTTTTAGAAAGTCCACCTGCCCAAAGCTGAGCACATGGTTTGTTATATGAGATTTCAAAACAAGATTCCTGTCATGCATGAATATTGAAAATACATATTGCTTTATCCAAAGTTTGTCTACCCTGCACTTTAATAAGCCTTTTTACTGCATTGAGTTTGGTTTTGGTTATTTTTACATGTTTTGGGATTTTTTGTGTGTTTTGTTGTGTTTGGTTTGGTTTTGGTTTTTTGGGGGTTTTTTTTTGGGGTTTTTTTTGGGGGGGGTGGTTGTTGTGTTTTTTCCCAAACAGTACCATTAGAAACAACTTGAAGATATTAAAAGAATTCATTATCAAAAATGCCTCCCACAAGCACCAAAATTAAGCTTAGAGATTTGAGCCACAATAAAATGGAACATTGAGCTCTTAATTGACAGAATAACTTTTTAAACTATTTTTCTAATCTCACTTTTATTCCATGTTTTTAACTAGTATCAGCTCTAAAGCTCTACATGCACATAAGAGTTATGAGATGGTCAGAAGTACCTCCAGAGACAGGGTGCTGCTTTTGCCTGGGTAGAGTTAATTTTCTTCACAGTAGCTCAGAGGGGGCTGTGTTTGGTTTTGTGCTGAACACAAGGTTGGTAACACAGGGATGTTTTAGTTACCACTCAGCAGTGCTTGCACAGAGTCTGCTTCTTACACCACTCCACCTGCCTGGGGCTGCAAAAGAAATTGTGAGGGGACAGCTGGGGGCAGGTGACCACAGCAACATTCCATACCTTAACATTCCATAACATTGTCATGCTGGGCATATAAAGCCGGGGGAAGGAAGAGGAAAGGGGGGGTGTTTGAAGTTACAGTGTGTGTCTTCCCAAGTAACCATTACACATGATGGAACCCAGCTTTCCTGGAGATGGCTGAACATCTGCCTGCCCATGGGAAGTATATATGTAAGAAAATGAGTTGAACTTAAACACATGACTACCTTTTTATTGTTCTTTAACTCCATTTAAAATGAAGCATCAATATCAAAATACAACAAAAATTCCTAATTTTGCCAAATATTTTCACTCTTTCCTTGTTGCAAGTAGCTTTGGAAATAATTTAACATTTGCAGAACACAGTTCTGTACTTAAACACATCTCACCCAAATCATTCATGGTTCCTGCTGTGTTCTGTACTTGCTCTGTGCAACATTTCCTTGCTTTAACGTGCTTTTGCTCTTCTGTTGGAGAGTAATGCCTATAGTGTGGACAAGGATCAACTGTAAGGCTTCACCCATCCTTGTTTCTTACAAATTTCTTGCACTTTCTGAACTGTCCCTCAGCAGTAACATTCTGTAGTAACCTGTTCATAGCTTTCTACCTTTATAGTGTGGGCTGATTCTGTTACTTTCTAAAGTCCTTGGAGTCTGCTCTGAAATACAGGACATGGAAGAGAAACAGAATAAAGATGAATGCAGAGTCACCTGCATACCTGAGAGATGCCTCATCAGTGGAATTAATCTGTTGCATGAATAAAACCTCATTAATACAGTGCTGATTTTTCTGAAGGGAGGGTGAGGAAACCAAAAACCATGGCAGATTAACGGAGCATAGCAGGAGTTTTTCGACATGTAGCCATGTCCTCAAGCACACTTAAGCAGCCAGCCAAAGGGTCCAAGGAATTGTGTTTTCACCTGCTCCAATTCTTGTTATCGGGACATCTCTCCTGTATGACGAAACTGCAAGTAGAAGGAAAATTACAGGTACCAATGAAAAGAGTTGTTTCCTCTGATAGTTCAGGCCCTTGGATCTGGTAAGTTTTCATAAGGCATTTGGCTTAAATATTAACTGTCTTCATGGTACATAGCTGCCCTAAGGAGCTCTTGAGTTTCTTCTGTTTGTTGACGGACTTGTTCAAGGAGTCTGGCCATTTGGCTTTTTCTGAATGCTAATGAAAAGTCTGGATCTGAAAAGGAATGACAGGTGTTAGGCAACCTGCTGTTTTTTCCCCATGTTCTAATGCAGATGCATAGAAAACTTACTTTTCAGGTTACATACAGTTGGTTGGTGGTTCTTATTGCAGGTAAGGCAGAAAAATACCACACAAAGCAGATATAAATTCTGTTTCCATCCCTACAGCCATTCAAGATTGCTGCTAAATTTTCCTGATCCGGATGTAAAAATCTCCATTGCCAAATTCAGCCTTATGCAGCAGCTGCCTATCTAGATATAGCAGGGTTTTTGGCTCTGGCTCTACATACATAAAAATATGTGCTATATACAGTTATTACCACATTATAACTCTCATAAGTACTCAACTTTTATCCAAAGACAAGAAGACTAGCCAAACCCAGGAAAAATATTAAGGAATGGACTTTTAAGTATGAAAATGTGAGACTTCCTGGCTTTAATATCAGCTAATCATGCAATTTCCTTATTTGCTTGTTTCACCAAAATAAACTAAAATTACATTTGAAAAACTTTTAGGTTTCATCCAGTGCCCAAAAATTCTTATATAGGATAAAAGCATATGTTCCTGAAGTCCCATTTCCCTGGATTCAGAAAGATTTTAGTTTGAAAGCAAGCAATCAAAATCTTCCTGCCTTCATCAGGAGATACTCTTTATGAGCTGCTTTAAAACAGGTGAGGTAACAGCTACCCTTGAGATTATTCTGTTTTCTTAAGTGAGCAGAGTTAGTCCCTGGAGAAGTCTGCACTGTTAGTGGTTGGACTCAATGATCTTAGAGGTCTTCTCCAACCCTAATGATTCTGTGATCTGTTACTAAGCAGTGCCTGTTTGCTGCTGATGGGTGCAGGCAGCCTTGGCAGGAAAGACGTACCTGCTCGTAGTCTGCAGAATGTGGAGATGCCCAGCTGCTGAAAACGGACCTCTGGGTGGGTAAGAAAATTCTTGAGGTAGGCTTGAATCTCTCTAATGTGATGCTTCCACAAAAGCATAATTTTTTCTGCATAAATGAGAGAACCACTGGAGATCAGTATGAGCCTTTAAACGCTTTGAAAACTGATTTTCGCAACAACATTTATAAGATCAATAATGACTCATCCACCTTCAGCTAAAACCAACATTACTACAAAGATTGGCAAGGGACTTCCCTGTACTACAGCTTCTGAGAATACTTAAGGTAAATAAAAAGTTGAGTAGGCTGCTGTGCTGGGAATCTGATCCCTGTGTAAGGGGCGGGCTGGTTCACAGACTGGTTGGCCTGGTAGGTGAAGCTGTCTATGACTAGATTATGATGTTGGATTCTGTTCACTACCTGAGAGTCTGCTCTGTTGCAAATCCTCAATGGTAGAAATGAAACAGATTTGCATTTTCCCTTACTGGGGACTCACTACATATTTCAGTTTTCCTTATGTCTAACGTCTAAAATCTAACCATACCTTTCTAGAGAATATGGCAAGTACCATGTGAACTTTTTCTTGCAAGTGTTAAAGGCTCTCAGCTGCATGGGACAAGTATCTTATGCATAAAGGTGTTCGTTTTCTACAGGTAGAAATAGTGCTCTTTTATTCTCTCCCATTGAAACTTTAAAAAATTTGGCTACATTCTTAAAAGCCACTTTACTTCTCTGCTCAAGCTAATTTATTCTAGAATGATATCAGCAGGTTTTGATTCAGTAAGAGTTTTTCTCTTGCTGCTCAGGGAGCAGAGTTAATCTAAAATTTTGGAACACAACCTCTGGTGCCTGTGGGGGATGTCATCACATTTTACATACTGAGAAAGAAGGTCAAACAGAAAGATGTAACCTTGTCCGAAGTGACCCTTTTTGAGAAAATTTCTCATCTCTCCTATGGTGAGGAGTATCTTAATGGTCTCCAACCTTCCTACTGAAGTTCTCTGCAAGGACCTCAGAACTGAGGCTATGGACCAGCCCTGCAGAATGGCAGTTCTTGAAGAAGGCAACAAACATGTGAATCAGACCTTTATGTATGGTCCACTTTCATTCCTGGACTTTCTCATGCACTCAAGGATTGTTTTACTTCAAGGGTGACTATAGGCAATTGTACTCTAAAAAATCTATAGAGACCAAATGGGGGGTCATAGAGGAATATTTAAGGTTGTTCAGTGCCTTACAGTCCTTTGGGAAAAGGCTAATTTCACTCCAGACAGCCATAAGTCTCTTTCAAAGCACAGTTAATCCTGTGTGTTACCATGACCAATCATGTGCTGGATGATGGAGGCAGCATGAAAGGATGGCTCCGGATGTTCCAGCTGGCCAGCCAGTCTCACCAAGCACTTTGTCAGAGGTTCATCCATCCACTGGACCATGTGTAACGTGGCTCCTTCTGGAAAGCAGAAAGGTAAGAGAATAGTCTCTAAATAGGAACTCCAGTGTCAAAGAAATGAATGTAAGAGGTCTGCCAGAAACTGCTGAAATAGTGAATCCTTCATGCAACTGGAGAAGGAAATTAAGTGCTGAACTTGGTTAATAAGTATGTTCAGGTTGTAAAAAAGGGTCATGTTCTGAGGTTGTGCTCTCAGTAAGGTAAGGCCATGGATTTGTTTCATATTTTTTTGGCTTTTTTTTCTGCAAAAATGAATCGCTTTATGTGCAAGATCCACTTTTGGCCTATTGGCTCAGTCTGTCCAGCAGGTTTTGTGCTCTGTTTGCAGAGTTAAATGTGATATTGCCAGCTGCATGGCCATTACACCAGATGCAAGAGATTACTTGTTTGACAGACAATATCCAATGCTGGGGTATGTTGGGAAAATTTACACTCATCCTTTCTGCTATAAAGAGTGCTGTACCTTTCATGAGTGCCAATTTGTTATCTCTGATAAAATCCATGTGCAAAAAATTTCAAGATAAAGACCTGATTAGTATTTTCATCTTTTTTTTTATATCAGGTTCTGCAGGGATAGTTATTTCAGCCTGAGAAACTGGGAAATGTTAGAAATAGAAGTAGACTTGCCATGTACAGCAGTAAAGTTCAGCACAAAAAAATTTAGAGTAAAGAGTTTTAAGGAGTTGAACTAAAGTGTAGACAATGGAGCCCATGTATCCTGCCAGCGAATCGGATTTTGTTCTTGAAACTTACAACTAAACAATGAATTTAAAGGGAAAGACTTGGGCTGTGTGTCCATCGCCTATTAAAATTAATAAAGGACGTGCACTTCTCTGATTCAGCCATTGATGGAGGGTTGCTGCCATACCTTGCTTTGCCAGCTCAGCAAGGCAGGATGTCACATAATGAAGGGAGTCTTCCTGAGTGTCGGTCAAAAGCATGGTCTGAAGGAGAACTTCGACACAGCGGCTCTCAGTGATTCTCTGCCACAAGAGAGAGATTCATGGTTAGCACTTCCATTATGGTTTAGTGGTGTCTGGGGGCTTCAGAAGTGCTCCTACAGTACTGAGGGTTAAACCAGCAATAATGGAAACATCTCTTCCCAGATTTACCATAACGAAGAGAAGACACCTTGAATTGCTCAGAGATCACCTGTACTGAGAAATATATAGACTGAAATGAAAACAGATCGGAGACTTGGCCTGTACTGACCTGGATTAAAAGCAAAAAATGAGACCAAGAAATGGGTTCTGAATGAGTCAGCTGGAGGTGACTGTTGCTAGTGAAGTTGAATCATGAAGTCATCAGCTCTCTGAGAGGCCCTAACAATGGAAGGTGCTCATGGCTCCCTAGATAAGCTCATGTGTCTATCAACAAAAGGGAGTATCTTTTTCTGATACTCATTTTATGCTGCATTTTAAGCTGCAGTTTTTGAACTTGCTGCTTAGAGGTTCAAGGTGGATTTGAGACTGCTGCTTTTCAAGCTCCCATACTCTGTTTGTGTCCTGCTGGCATAAAAACAGCACTGTCTTTTTCCTCTTATGCCAAGAACTCTTATGTGTTTTAGGGAGCGTTCTTTAGAATTGACCCTGGAAACCTGGCACTCCCACTCATGTCTGTGTATTCACTTATGCAGTGAGAACTTTATACTCTTGATATTATAAAGCTTTATGAAGGTGAAGTAGCTCCCAGCTGATAACAGGATAAAGTCACGGAATTTAAGTATTTTAAAGAAAGACTGTATTTGTCAAACTTTGAACAGACGATCCATTTTTATTCCTACTGTGGGCCTTGAGTTTAAGGGAATCTAGTTTCCTGCAAAACTTGATGTCACATCTATTAGAAATTTATATAATTCTTAGTGAAAAAAAATTTCCTTCTGGCTGGTTTAAATCTCTGGAACTAGTAGTAAATGGATTGTGAACAAAGAGAAAAAAAAAAAGAACTCAGTCTTGAAAAGTGTGCACTAGGAAGTGGGACAAAACAGAAATGAAGATTTGGTGGGGTTTTTTCCTCAATATTGATTGCTACTGGTGGTACTGTTTGATCAAGATACTCTAAAAGGCAAGGAGGAAAGGAAGTACATATGGAGTTTGAAGCAAAATCAGCAAGAGAGATCTTTACAGCATTTTGACATGGCTAGTATCTTGCCAAAGAGGCAAAATGTACATCAATAGCCGGGGTTTAATTTCACAATGAATGGCAGCTGAAGCACAAGAGCCAGGAAATAAAGATTCAGTTCATAACAGACCTCAGAGTTTCCTGAATGATTCCTTTAATCAGTATGAAATGTCCTTGCTAGAAGAACTTTGTATACCTATGATGCAGTCAAATTAGGTAACCACATCACTCATAGCAAAAACTAGATATTTCTTATTTTAATTAGTTTTTTTATATTGTATTGGGAAAATATGAATAAAACTACCTTTCATTATGGCCCTTTTATTCATACATGCAATTTTGTGTAAAATATACAGCAAATTGGCATATGTTTAATTACCCCCAGAATTAATTTTTCTTTAATGCTGATTTGACATGAACACAATATCAGCCTCACAGGGTATAGTTCAGTGACAGACACTGTACCTACCTGTCTGTTTTTGGAAAGGCTCAGGTTTTTGATGATGCAAGCAGTATGTCCAACAATCACAGGGTCTGTTTTATGTGCTGCCAGTAATGTCCCCAGGCTCTGCAGTAGCTCAGCACATGCCAGAGTATCCTGAGAAGAGCAACTGGTATCTCAGTTACATCCAATATGGACAACACAGCGCAATTTTGCAGTAAGTTACAGAGAGATCAAACTTAAGTCTGCAAGAAGAGCATTAGTTTGCTTATTTAAAACAAAGATGTGGCTGGGTCCAGTGCTGCTTCTCTCAAGTATGGTCTGACTGGCACTGAATATTGAGCTCTTGCTATGGAAGGCTGGAGTCTTCAAGGTCATGTAGTTTATTGTTGTTTCCATCAAATGCCTCACCAGGGTCATTGCTAGTCAGGGGAAGGATGTGTGATCCTGACTGGAAGGAGAGGTGGTCAGGGCTGGTGTGAAAGGCAGAAGCACACGGTGAAGTAACAGCAGCAGTGCACCCTTGAGTACTTCAGCAATTTACCTGGCTACAATAATGGGTTGCATGTTTAGGTCAATTTGTGATCAGGCACCTCTTTAGTAAACATGTCCTGAACAACATCTTTACACACATTTCTCTGCTGTCTGACGATATTTTAGAGGTACTTTGCTAGGTACTTCTCTCTCCGTAGTCTTCCTCCAATTACCATTAATATTAATTGAATCACAGAATGGCCTGGGTTGGAAGGGACCTTAAAGATCATCTAGTTCCAAATCCTCTGCCATGGGCAGGAACACCTTCCACTAGGCCAGGTTGCTCAGAGCCCCACCCAACCTGGCCTTAAACACTTCCAGGGATGGGACATCCACAAATTCTCTGGACAACATGTTCCAGTGCCTCACCACCCTCACAGTTAGGAATGTTTTTTCTAACATCAAATCTAAACATACTTTCAGTTTGAAGCCATTACTCTTGTCCTGTAGTATCAGATTGGAGTCTGGATTACTGCACAGGTATTTACCTCAATAACAATATGGATTAAAGGGCCATTGCTGTGTGTAAGAGAAACCTGACTTCAACAGAGTTTGTGTTAGGTCTACAGTTAAAAGCAAAAGATTACCTCTTGAGAGTGTTTTTTTCTTTCAGTCTCCTTCCCTTAGAAATTTAGGGGTTTTTTATGCAGTTCTGATTGTTCACAATGAACTATATTATTTATACTACTTGGAAACCGAGATGCATTAGCAAGGGAGTTCAATATAAAACAACAAATCATTGGTCCTATACACAGCTGCAAAAAACCACATAATTCTGAAACGTGTGAAATGTCAGGATCACTAAAGCAGTGTTGAAAGGCAGATGTCTTTAAAAGTAACTATAACTTTAATCTTTCTTTTGCTTAGGTTAAATTGCAAAAGTGTATCTTACTTTCTTTTAATACCAGCTGACATCTTCACTTAGCTCATTTTAAGCACTGCCACAACCAACAATCCTAAAATAAAACAGGAAAATAAGTGGAAAGGGCAGTTCTATACCTAAACACAGGGCATTTAGAGAATCCTATATGCAAACATGACAGTAGATTTTCCTCAGTCTTGTTTTTCCTTCTCTTTAAAGGAAGAAATAATATAGTTTCAGATAATCCAATTACATTACCACCGATGACTGTTTCTATGCTTTTGGGCTGAATGTCCTCTTTCTATGTAATCCCATCAACTACAATACTCATTTTTGATTTGCTACAGCCTGAGAGGAGGAAATTTTCTGTGGATTATAAAGGAACTTTCTAATATATAATGACTTCCCTGCCAAGATCTTTTGTTTATTTAGGACCTACATTAGCAAGTGACAGTACTTGAATTTTGCTCAACTTCTTTTTTTGGCTGGAATATGGCTGAGATTCAGATTTTGTTTTCTGGCTCAATCCTGCACAGTGCAAGAGAATCACGAGAAAACTGTGAGTAAAAATAGATCAAGTGATTCAGATGGATATTGATCTAATTTTTCCCAAAACTACAATACTCAAAAAAAAATAATAATAAAAAAAAAAAGGGCAAGGAAAAGCATGCCAGCAGCAAGTGTGCTTACAGTTGCAATGCTGCACTCATACTCCTCACACAGGAATTGATTGACAAGGTAAATATTATCCCATTTACCAGTTAGCAAGATGATAAGGCAAAGTTATTTTGTACCTGGAGTGGAGAGTCAGTGGCACCATCTGGAATAGACAGACCCTGACTTTCAAGTCTTTTGCTCAAAGGAATTTGACTTAAGAGACTGTTTTCTTACAAAGCCTGATTCTTTAGTGTTTCAGGGTTGGGCTGTCCTTGGGAAAACTGAATACAGTTCCCTCAGCAAGAGGGAAGTTTTCCAGCCCTTGCTGGGAATCCTTGTCAACAGCCTGACCAGGAGATTGCAAAAATGGGGCTGAAGCAGGGTGAAGAGCTCCTGTGAAGCATTCCTGGGGGTTTGCTTCATGGTAACAAAAGGGCAGACAGGTTCTGCCCCATTATATCCTGGGTAGTATTTGTAATAATTCAAGCATCACTTGACTTGGTTGTAAAGGTTAGCTTTGTTCAGTGGTTTGTTTTCCAACAGTTGTTCCCATGGAGAAGTCTCTTTTTCAGTCACGGAGAATTCAGCCTGAGTTAGAGAAAGAAACATTGAAAAGGCTTGAAAAACAGGCCAGAAAAGGCATGGTGATGGGGAGGCAGGATATGAATACAAAGAGGTCAGCCTCTTCACAGAGTGCCCAGGGCTCGCTCGCACAAAGCAGCAACATTCAGTAGTCAGGCTCAGCCGTGTTTGCTCACTAAAACAAATTTAGATATGTAGATACTTCTCACTGGAGAATAAAGTGAGATGCTTTGCTTTCCAGCCTCCTGCTACTGACACGTTTTCTTCCCTTATGAAGGATGGGCTGTTTCATCACTAGTGTACCAAGGCTGAGTTCCCAGTGTCTTTGTTCTTACTGATGCTGACCATGTCTCTTTGTGGCCAGGGTTTGAAACACTGGCAAAGACAAGTTTCAGGACCAGGGAGAAAAGGATTTGTGGGTACTCTTTGCTGGGAGAACAAAAAATGCAAACGATATTTGGAGACAAGAAAAGCAAAACTGAGTGTTCCAGCATTGTCCATATGTCCATAACATTCCATGCATATTCCAGCATAATGTCTCATACTGAATAACATATTTACTGTGCAAATGGCCTTTAACTAACATAATGTATTTCAACTGTAAGCTTGTTGAGAGTAAACTGTGTTTTGATTGTATGAGGGAGTTTGACAAGCAATGAGGATGTCTGGTGCTCATGCAGCCACTGTGCCCTTGAACAGCTCTGTACTCTAGTTGCTGCTTCCTAGGCATTGATCTCATCCATTTTCTCCATCACGTTCCAGAGGTAGGGGAGGTGCAATCTTGGTTTGTGTACAGACAACTGAACGGTAAACACCAAGCTTTCCAAACCCAGAGTAAATTTCCAATCAGGCTGACTGTATTTCAGGCACAAGAAGCACCTAAGGCCACCTGAAGCTATTCACCTGTGACACCTGTCACTACTGCTTGAAGCAATGTGGCAGGAATGGTTCTCACATATTTTTGCTCTGTGTAGCTAACCTGACTACTTTCAAATGCTGTTGTTAGCTTAAAAAACTTACCAACAACCTTTCACATCTATGTTCTTAAGGATGTCTTTAATTACTGTAAAGAAAAGTTTGTTTAAAAACAAGAGTAATCTGTCAGTATTTGCAGTAATTTATTTGTAGTCAGACTTCTTTATGTATTTGCTAGTGTTGCACTCTTAATGGTGGTGTTTATCCTGAACATGGGCAAAAGAATCAATCTGTAACTTAGGACATGAGGATATACAGTCCTAGTGAAAGGCCTAATGCATTAACTAAAGATAGACAGGATTTCAAAATCTGTTAGTCCCCTTTTTGTTTTGATCCTAATTCAAAATACGTTAATATTTGACAAATGCACTTTTGAATAAAGCTGTCCATGTAGGGAAGTAATGTATATTTGCCCTTTGTTCTGCACTTATGCACTTTAAATGTGTGCTCTAAATTATTATCTCTGCTTTTCAGTGTGTGGGGAAGCTCTGTAGCCAAGAAATAACTTCCTTGGTTGCCCTCATGGTGGTCTCTTGTGGTGCTGTGTATGTCCTCCACCTTGTACACCCATCTGGAGACCTCTGGTCTGGGGACTGAGGGGACTAGAGGAGGTTGCAGGGAGTGCAAGGCAGTATCCTCATATCAAATTACTCTATCACCCATCTCCCCCTCTACTCTCTCCCTGGTCTATCCTTTGGATCCCACTCAGATGGCTCCTCAGGTAGTTAGTGACAGTGCAGATGCAGTAAATTTTGGGTAGGAGAGAGAAGGGGTTGGGAAGTCTCCCAGAGTCCTCTTGGTCATTCTCAAAATGCATTTCATAGGCAGTTTTGCCGTAACAGTGTTATCCCAGGTGGTGGCCAGAACTACTCTTTCCCCTCTATTTTTGGGAAATGACCTCCCATACCTGGTTGGGTGGGTGCTGGGAGAGTATCCAGAGCAGAGCAATGGAGGCACGACGCACATCCTCACTGCCAGAGGCCAGGAGAGAGCACAGATTGGGCAGTACATTCTCAGCTACCATCTCAGCCTGGATGTCCGCTGGTGTGGGAAAACAAAGGAGGTCAGGGGGGTTCAGAGGACTGCAGGGAGTAATTTAGGCTCTGACTGTTGCCTTGGTGATCAAATTAGAGGGGACCTGCCCATCTCCCATCCATGGGATGGGGCAATGCCAGATGTTCAGCTATAAAAATAAATCCTCACTTGTTCTGCCTCCTTTTGCTAAGGGATTAGTATAAGTTTGATGGCAGAATGTAGGTTTGGGCACCCTCAGTCTGTGTCTGAGCCTCAAAAGAAAGAGTGAGGGGAATTTTCTGAGCTCATCACTGGCTTAAGGCCAGGTAAGAAGGTGGCAGCTTCTGCTGCACAAACAGAAAGACCTCCCAAGCACCACCTATTTAACCGAGTTATGGTTAACCACGAGAGAGCCCAGCCATCTCACTGAGTTGTTATGCCCCACTTGCCCCTGCAGCCTCAGAGAGTGCACTAAAAGGCAATGCCAGAGCAGCCAGCAGATGGAGGCAGATCTAAAAGGTCAAGCAGACCAGGTGTTTCAAGCATGTCAAGGAGTGGCACAGCACTTTGCTCTCAGCTCCTCTATAATTGTGACTGCTTGAAAATTAAGCACCTCTACATTTTCTAGATGAACAACTCTACCCTGGAGTCTGGGACTTTAGCACTGAGTGTGCCAGTCCTCTGCCACTGTCTCCTGAATATGTCATAGAAATGAACCTTGGACATTTAATAGGACAGGGTTTTTTAAGAGGATGATAAATGCAGGGGAGAAAATTACATTTAATGATAGACAGAATCATGCCTTGGAGAAGACAGGTCCCCACTCAATAAGCAATTTCAGGAGACGTTCTGTCCTAATTTGGTTTAATGCTTAGGAAACACGGAAAGGAGGAAAGCGTAGCAACTCACTAAGGCTCTGTGCACCTCTGAACACCTCTGCTGCCTTTCCCACTTTCTCCAGATACTCCCCTGGCTACCTGGGAGCTCTAAGACAGATTTAGCTAGGATATACACTGCACCTTCTTCTTCCCTTAACATACAGTTGAAATGTAGAAAACGTCTCTTGCTTTTAATAGGAAAGGTTCCCAGCCCACTGTGCTCACTCTGAAAGGCAGAGAGAAAAAGAAATAGTGTGGTTTCTTTATCTCCAAGACATTGCTTACCACTGATAGCCAAATTTCTTAGGCAAACACATGCCTGGCTTGAAACCTGCTTGTGCCAAAGAGGAAAAAAGATTAAAAATGAGAGAGAGGAGGAAAAAGAGCAGTTTCAGTAATGCACGTTCTTGCCTATTGCACACAAAATCAACATGACAATATTAGCAAGCTATTACATTATCTTCAAGAATAAATTTGGCACATGTTTTTTTTTCAAAGTTTCGATGATTTTTTTTTCAATCTCCTAGTATTAGTCATCCTATTGTTGATGAAGAATGGGGTTCAGATGTTGGTTTTTATTTTAGAACATCTGATAAGTTATAGGAAAATGAAGAGAAAGTAACTTGTCCCATTTGCTTTGCCTTTTTTTCACCTCCCTTCTACAAAAAATTTCAAGCTCCACCCTGAACTGTGGTTTCTTAAAATTTCTTTGCTGTGGCTTCCAACAAAGCAAAATTTTCAATATGTTATTCCTTGAAGCCATACAGTAAAAGTTCCGGATACCAAAAAGAAAAAAAAAATATAGCACAACAGATGTGTCAGACAATTTCTGTCACAGACACAATGATCAAAGACAGAGACTGGACAGGGCACTGCTCACATGATGTTTCAAGTTAATAGCATACAGGCTATCCTAGTCTAAAGGAAGGGTTCAGGGCTGTAGAACAACTTTAATAATTTCCCTTTACTTTCTTCATACATTGAACTTGTAGAACCCATGTATTTTCTATTATAGGTGTCTTTTCTCATGGGAAAGATGCCACATAGGTACAGTAGATGAATAGAATGATGTGAGGCTAAAACTGGAAGCCCAAGTTTATACCTCTACTCAGATGCTAAGTCTTTTCACAAAGGGAAAGCTGTGACTTTACCTTGTCCACAGAAGAGGAGAGGAGAGAGATCAGGGTCCGCAGCAGGAATCTGTCACTGGGTCTCAGCAAGGCTTTGTGGTGCTGAACATTGGCTGCCACGTTGCTCAGGGCAGCACAGCTGTAATACTGCAAAGAACCAAGAAAAAATGTAGAGCAAGAGGTCAGAGTGGTGACATGTTAAAGAGAATACAAATAAATTGGAGAAATGCTCAGATTTAAAACTGATGAAAATAAAATGCTTTTTCACCTTAAGGGTGTTTATGGGGTTGGCACAACATGCTGTAGCAGCTACAGCAATCCTGCTGGGGCATGTTGTACACTCATTAGGACCTTGGCTGTTTGGGAATGTGCTCTGCTGCTGCAATGACATTGCTGCTGGCATCCAAGTTAGGTAATCTGCATCTACTGTATTATATGTTTACATTGATTTACTCAAGCTGGATGTAGCTATTGCCCTAGCATGCCGAGGGATCATTTCCAAAGGATATAACCATTAACGCTAGGAAGTATTACACATACAAAAGTATCTATTACTAGGTATAATTAGAGGAAACATGTTGAGCTACAGAGATGGAAATTCTAAGATGAATCTCAGAGGAATCTAAAATGGCTGAAACAGTTTGCAGAAAGCAATTCCAGAGGGTCCATCCCTCCAGACATTTAAAAAATCTGTGTAGAGATAACTAAATTGATGGAGCAAACAATTCTGTGCTACTCAAAGGACTGAATGAACAAACTAGCAGAGTGTAAGGCTTACAACTCTGATTCATAGTTTATTTATCAGCATACTTTTGCGCTAAGACGAGCTCTCTGCTGAGTGTGCAGAATCACAGAGGTGTCTGTGATAGGCATAAAACAGGATGCTTTACAGATATTTACAACAAGAAAAAGATCATTGCAAGTTATGTCTTCTCAGAATACTTAGTAACATTGCTTAGAGTGAAAGATCTAAGTTAGGATGCAAAAAACCCAACCAAAAACCCTAAAACCCAGAGGAAGAGACCTTTCTGCATCTTGTCTGATGATCTGACAGATACAAGAAGGTAGCCACAAAACAACCTGTGCATGCATTAATGTGTGGTGGCAGAAAAATTTTTGCGTCATAAACTTTCTCCTGTGGAGTTAGACAAATTGAGTCTTTTAATATACATTATCTGACTGAGCTGAGTTTCACCAAGATGCTCTCCCATGTTTCTCCACTTGACTAGAGAAACCTTTCCTCCTCTCCCTCTTTTAATTTCTGCATACTGTGGTTTGTGCTCTCCTTACAGTCACAATGTTACTGTTTTAAAATCTGACCTGTTTTAGTCATACCTGGACTTCTGAGTCAGGAGATTCCAGCAGCACGGCAAGAACCGGTAGGGCTCCCTCCTTGCATAGGACTTGCTGGATTTTCTCTGCCATTAAAAAGAAAACATAAAGTGTCTTTCTCCTTCCTTCTCGCTCATCTAGAGGCACTGTTCAAAGGGATGTGCACAGTTCTTGGGTTCTAAGGAGTGCTGATGTTGACCAAATGTATGCCAGTCAATGTGATTGGAGAGTATATAATTTAAAGCTTGTGTAATGAAGCAGTATGCAGATATTTTAGCAAATAGACTAGTAGGCTGTCTGATAAAGCTTTTAATGGTTTTATGCTAAAAACTGTTCTGAGAATCTGAATTGCTGGAGAAGCTGAAAAGCCTCAGGTATGATCTTCATTATGATTTCAGTGTTATCTAAAAACAATTTAAAATATTCTGAATAATACCAGAAATGTAATAGCCAACTGTTAAAGTTCTTGCCAGCTGTTTCCTTCCACAACACAGAGTTCAGAGATGTTACTCATAACTTTATTGTTTAGCTCTGTGGAATAATGGTATCATCTTGGAAGGTGAAATTTAATGCAGTTCTGTTTCCGAGTTAAGTATGGTAGTCTACATAGAATTGCGGAGGACCTAGTACTCCTTGTGATAAAGCTGTTGGTGGATATTCCAGGAGCCTTTAATGTCTGACCAGTGATAGTTATACTTAGCATATTGCAGCATTGAGCTAGTCAGAACAAGCAAAAAGCTCCTAAAGCTCAACATTGTTGGATAAGCTTGTGAGATTGGTTTAGAGTACACCAAATGTCCTGCTAACTTTTTAGGCCCAATTATTTCTTTAACAAATGGCTATTTTTTTTTCTATTTCTTTGATTGATTGTTTAAATATTCATATACTGGCCATTTGGATTTGAAAATCAAGATTTTCTGTTTTGCTACAAGGCAAAAGAGGGCCTGTATCAGCTAAACTTAAATCATCAACCTGTGGTACCAACATGAATGCCATATGGAGAGGAAATAACTTGTTGCTCAGATATGCTTTTATTCCTGCCTTAACCTTTAGGATTATTTTTCTATCAGTGAGCTTTCTTTTGGCAATTTAGGTAAACCATTAGTCCAAAAGTACCTGATTGTGTGAGGTTCAGAATAGCACCAACTGCATTTTGTTGGACTCTGGGATCATAGGACTTGGCAAGGGACAGTAGGGGTGTAACTCCTCTAGCAGCACCAATAGCTTCTCGGTTGGACTCTGGAGAAAAGAATCAGAGAAAGAAATACTTACTTAAAATCTTACTGTGAGCCACAAGCAGGACAACTAGCAGGACTAGTCCTTTGGTGTTTCTTTCTCTGATTTCTCGGCATGCTCAAAGGAAACTGTTAAAAATTCTGAGAGTTTAACAGGAAGGAAACTAACCCATGACTTCTGGATTAGCCATAAATCACAGCTGGTTCAATGCTGTTGGTTTGTAACTAGGATAATTAAAATATCCTTAAGACCCTTTAAACAGGTTAACAAAGTATCATACTTGCTTCATACCCTTGGTATGTCTGATCAACCTATTCACAGTGTGGTAACCAAAAAAACTACATCATGAACTGAAGGTAAGATTTAATTAATTCAGTAGGGTATATTCAGCGCCAGCTTCTCTCTTGGCATGTCCCTGTGTGACTCACTTGAAAGCTACAAACAGCGCAGAGGTTTCTAAAGACAAAATTTGATTTAAACATTGAAATTTGAAAAGATGGTGCTTCTCTGAAGTGGTGGTGATTCCTTTCCTGGCAATGTAATGAGTTGTACAGCTGTATTCAACATCCTGGAGTACAAGAACTCGTTAAGACTCTTGGATGAAAAACTGATAAAAAAAAGGAAAAGCTATAATACTTATTTTTGTAAAATTAACAATATTTATACAAAGTTTAAGCAATGGCCAGTCTGTGGAAATTTGCTGAGAGAAACATGAAACAGAGCAAAAAAAAAAAAGTAAAAATAAAGGTATTTGAATGAAATCAAGTCTTCAGGTGCTAACTAACTTAGAGAGTTATGAGAACAAAGCTGCTAGTTTTATACCTAGAGCCTATCTAGTAGGGAATTGACATACACAGATTAGCCAGGATATTTATTCAAGTATAGTTCAGATAGTATCAGTTTAATATTCCAGGGCAAGCAATTTTCCATCTTCCTATGAGTATATACTCAAGTAAATAACTTTTATTCTGGGAAAAAAAAACTGAGAAAAAGAATTGTTCTGAGAAGAGTAATATATTTAAAAATAGCTTTTCCATGTGGGAAGCTATTATTCTGGTAAAATTCTCTGCCCCTCTGTAGACAAGCCCTTCTCTAATCTAATCTGCCTACATACCATTCTTTTGTTTCCCTCAGTAGAAGTAGAAAGTCTTTTGTATGGCAACTGGTGTGATGCAAACTACCCAGCTGAATAAAAAACAGAGGTAAAAAGATTAAGAAAGAATTTATATATCGCTGCTTCCCTTATTCTTGTACACAATACACTCCATGAATGTTTGTGAACGTGGGAAAGAACCTTACATTTGAAAAAAGGGATTACGAACATTCGGACAAAACTCAGGCAAATTGTTTCTTTAATCAGATATTGTGCCTGAACACTTGTTTTGCCAATTTATGATGACAGAGTGGATGGGGAAACCTATCTCACCAAGATGTGTAACTGTATTGCCATGTCTGTAAGAGATGTGGCAGGCTAGATCATGTTTCTCTCCTTGACCACCTGTTTATCTTAAAAAATGCAGTCCATCCACTGATGCCACTGCAACCACTGATGCCCCTTGGAATGCTTTTAGAAGGTAGCCATGTGTTCGAGATGCTACTCTAAAGCGGGGAAATCAACAATATCTACTCAAGCTGTGTTTGAATAACTCACTAGTTTATAAATTCTTTCTTTCCACTCTGACATTTGTGTGCTTAAAAATTCCTATCAGAACAACTTTGAATATGCTTTACATTCAGTGCATCCTCCTTGTTCTAGCTTTAAGCAGATGTTCAGGCCCCCCCTAAACACTGAAGATGTGCACATTTAGTTCTGTTCTGAAGTACTCTGAGTTATTATCTCAAAACTGATTCCTTTCATTCACTGATTGACAAGCTGCAGATAATTGCAACTATGCATGTATCCTTTTGCTGCGTGATCAAATGCTGCTGTTGGAACAAACTAACCTTCAAATATGTATCATCTGAATGGGTTGGTTTGCTTTTCTTATTTTCAGCTCCCTATTGCAGCAGGGCGACAACCCAGTTTACACATGACCTGCAGTAACACTGCTAAACAGTTTCACTCTGTACATAGTCTTGCATGCTTGTTGCAACAGAATTAAGACCATTCTTAGATGTAGAATTTTAGTCAACTTAAAGCCATCTAAAGGATCTAAAGGATCTTCCTAACTTGGTTGTGCTTCTATATTTACCTTTTTTTGCATAAATGGCCTTCTTGAAGGACATGACTGAACAGGATACTTTTCTCAAGCAGACACTTAAAAATATCAGAGTCTGTGAGTTAAAATTAAAATAAACCCTGGAGAATTTCCTCTTGCTTTAGTCTCATTGATGTGGTACCTAAATATAGTCTGAAAAACAAATAAACTGATCCAGGCCATCTAAATCCTAGTTAAACTGGGACAGAGATCCTCAACACTGATCAAATTCCAGGCAGCAGTCCAGCCTATGCAGGACTGCCTATCTCTGTTTAGCTTTGAAAGTTCCTTGAATGCTTGATTTGGAATACTTATGCTCAGAAGGACATTGGTGCTTAAGGGAGTGTGCAAAGGCATTGGAAGACCAGAGGTAGCCAGGATGTGGAGCAGCTGATGGTTCCCTGTATTCCAGATTAGACATCTAGAAAGACATGAAGAGTGTCTTCAGGACTAAGTAACATCCTTAGGTGCCCAAATAAATCACTTTCTCAGTAGACTGTTTAAAACAGATGAAGGGACATCTCTCTGTAAATCTTCAGGGGCTTAGCTTCACTGACCCTACACAAAGTCTGTCCTTCTAGTGCCAAGTACCTAAAAGTTTAGTGATGCCACTCCTAATTAAGACATGTAAATGAGACAATTTGCATTCCATATAAAGTAATGTAATATGTAGAATTCTTAACCTGACAATAATGTGCAATGCTTAAAAATAAGCTCTTAACGGAAGAGTGTTCAAAAACCTGAAAATAAAACAAAAAGGTGGGATAAAATGCAAATCAGCACTTTCATGTGGTTGGATCCTGCTTATCCACTCCTCCTTTGCAACATAAATACTTAAATGAGAAATTAACACTTTCATCATGCTTCCCTCAGCCTTCTGGGACATCAGACTGCAACTTCCCATACTGGAGAGGGAAGCTGGCAGAATAAATGCTGCAGGAAGGGACAAAATATTATTCATGGCTTTTCTACAGACCTGGACACAATTTGTACAGGAAAACTATGAGTTTACACAAGGCAGAGTAAGACAGACTAACATGATAACCTTTCTTTTGGTAACTGTGGCTGAACTTACCTGTCTGGATACCAGGAAAATAGTAATATCATTATTGAAATATGCATAGTTAAGCAGAAGTTGGTGACACATGCAAGTAGTACATGATGGATAACACGTACTGTTATCCATCTGATAACAGTACACTGAAAGCAAACTGGCAGCAAGTTTTGCTGAATGGGAATGACCACCTGGGAAGAGGCTACAAATGGAATTCCATGAGGGCTAGTCTGTACTTGCTTTGAACCAGAGAGTTAAAACAAAGATGTAGAACTGTCAATGCAGTGGAGGACCAGAGTATTTTACAAATAACAGACAAGTTAGAAGAACGAAGCAACGGAAACAGAATGAAACCTGTACAAAATGCAGGGATGTGCATTTGGTAACATTTGTGGTAGAGCCTTGGTTACTTGGTGTCTGCTGGAAACAGCAGCAGAGGAGGAGCAAGACTAAGTGATTAAGTCAGATGTAGGATGACAGCATCACCATGGCACAATCACCAAACCTGCAAGTGTTACCATGAGATGTACCACAAAACATATTTCCCTACATGCCACAATAAAAGGCACAGGTGAGACCCCAGGTGACATACTGCACATTTCTGGTGACTTCTCTTTCAGAAGAGATGAATCCAAAACAGAATTCTGGCAGCATTTATCTATATCTTGGCACTGTAACAATGCCTGAGGCCTGGGGTATCATGATACGGAACATAGCGTGCAAATGCTATTTTCCACTCCTGGAGCATATAATTTACACCCAGAAGGACTCTGAAGATGAATGGAGAGTCTCACTTACAAGAGGAGTCTTAAAAGGCCTTGGCTTTCTCAGCCTAGTAAAATGAAGGAACCTCATTAGCACAGACATCAGAAAGAACTCCAGAAGCAAAAGCCAATGTAGACAATAATTAAGATAAGCTAGTCATGAATACATTCAGGATAAAAATCAGAAAAATGTCTGTAATCATAAGAGCATGAAGGTCAGAAACACTGAGAAAAATATCTGGAATGTCAGGAGGTTGAATTTATGATACGGGAATACCAAAACTTGCTGCTGCATCTTATGACTCTTAAAGCAATTGCAAATAGGCTGTTTCATATTAAAATATGATGGAAGAGTTGAATGAATTCACAGCAGAGGGTAAAGGCAAAGACAACACTCACCTGAAACAGCCAAAGTCATGATGCAGGCACAGGAATTACACTGGACAGTGGGATCCTCTGACTCAAGCAGATCCAAAATTGGCTCAAGTAAACCCATTTGGACAACTAATTCTTTGTCAACTATTCAAAAATTCAAGAAAAATGGGCAAATAAAAAAGTAAACAGTTACTGATTTTGTGGAAAGAATACATCATCCATTGACTGCTTTGGAGATACACATTATGATTTTACAAAATAGACTTAAGATGGAAACAGCCTGAAAGCCACTCACAGTCCCTAGCTGGGTTTGCTTAATTCCCCTTCAGATGCTTGAAAGAGTGTAACATATGTTTTAGGTTTTAGGTCAGAAGGTCCCAAATCAGGTTAATTTTGGCAAAAGCAACTGCAGCTTTTCAATAGATTCACAATTTACTCAGCAACCCCCAAATCCTTTCTTTTTCTTCTGTGGTCTACCCTTTAAATATTATCTTTTCTTTGTAAATAGTGACATGATACTATTTGTAGCAAAGTCCTTAAAAAAGAAAGCAAAGAAAAAGGCCAGCTTTGCTGAAGACTGACCCTGTCTTCTACTATGGGACGTCAGGATGGAATACTTGTTGTGGCCCATGTGCCCAGGAGTGCAGTAGCAGTTGCAACAAGGACTCTCTTTATGAGGTGTGGCATGTTCATGCCCTGTCTACCAACATAAACTTTACTGGGAATTTTTTCTTCTGCATCTCCTAGATTCTATCTCAAATCTATTTTCCCCTTTAGTTACAGAAGTAACTGAACTATACTAAGCATTTAAACTTTTTTTTTTCTCTGCAAGCAATTTAAGACTAAGGTCCAGACCACAAATACCCAGAAAATGACCACTGACTTGTACATAGAATTTATTTGTATGAGCTGTATCCATTGTTTGAAAGGAAAAATGTCTGTGGATCTGAGAATGAGAATAAAATTCCCATACTGGTCTGAGAATAATTTATCAGCCTTTGCACACAGATCCAAGAACTCTTGTCACATTATATAATCTAGCTGGAGGGATCTGCTATATCTTGCTGTCACCAGAAGCTATGTATCTTGCAGTCAGAATCAGACTCACACTTGTCCTATCAGGAACACAAAAAAAGGAATCTAGATTTATCTAGAAGTGCCCTCCTTCTGTGTGAGTCTGGCTGAAGAGATACTTCTTCACCTGAAGAGAGATGTGTTGTTGATTACTCACTATTTCCTTCCAGCAAGAAGTTGACAAGAGACAAGGAAGACATCTGCTGCACCTCCAGGTCAGCAGAACGTAGTAAGGCATAGAAGGGTTCCAGATGCTCCACAGGCAGGGGGATGTTCACTGCAAGAATGAGAGGAAATATTGATGAGCTCCACTGTTCAGCAGTGACATTTTTCCTTTGAGGGACTTAAACCTCAGGTGCTCCCATAGACAGGCTAAGTGGTATTCACCTTCATTAAAATTCCACTGCTACTAGCAAACAGGGCAAGTTTCCTGAAGGGGTTTTGAATAATCAAATACTTCAAAAACATCATGGGAAGGGAAGCAGTGTGCCTTGCTACCAAACAAGTCATTCTGCCTCATAGAAAGTCCTTGCATTGTGGCTACAGGCACTTTTTATCCAGCAAAAAATATGTGGGATAAAGCTATCATCCAAGTGACAGAATATTCTCTTTGAAGTAAAATAAAAATATACAAATAGATAAATAAATTGCAAACTGCTTGTTGGTAGTATTTTTACCTTTTTGTAGAATCCAAACTCTTGCTGGCATTTTATTTGGGATATCTAGGCTGATTTCTAAAATTAATAAACTACCTCAAGAGCCAGGTGTTCCCACAGAATAGCTGGAACAAAAAAGAATGTTTCCTTTATAAATTGTCACTACAATCTGCCTCCTGGAGCTTTGTCCTCTTTTATATATAAAATATTAACTGGTCACTATGTCCATTTCCTTTCACCATATTTTGACTGTGTTACTTCCAAGACAGTCAGCATACGCTTACTCTAAGTACTTTGGGTTCTGCTGAGTTTTACAGAAGTATAACAATTTCATAAATAACTATCTTTTATAATCGTAAGCGATATCTCCTTATAGCAAAACTCAGAACTGACTCTGCCTATGTGGCAATGCCAGTTTTCCATCTTCCTTGGCAAACAACATAGCATGAAAGCAAAAACACACTTACTTAATGAATCAAAAGGAGTTTCACAGTTTGAAATAATATTTTCGTTTATAATTACATGAAAATTTTCTAATGCTTACTGAGATAACTTACTGTGCTGACTCATATGCAAGTAATAGAGGGCAGCTGACTGCTGTAAACCTGGGTTTTCTGAAAAGGATAAGGTCCTCAAGGCTTCCAGAGGGTCCTTTCCAAGTGGAGACATTTCAAAATCTAAAGATGTAAAATGACAACACAGGCTCAATTACATCTGAAAAGGGTTAGTTTAAAAAAAAAGAAATTAAAATTTACAGCAAACCAAACACATAAGGATTTTTATACTGCAACGACTCCATAAAGCCCATCTGTCTTTATTCACATTTCCATGAGCTGAAGCAATAGATGAACTGGGAATAACCTGTCCTTGGCAATGCCTCTTGTAAAGCTCACAAAGCTAGTGATTGGAAACAAGATAAATTATAACCTTTGGACACTTTTATGCTAATATAAATGCAAGTGTTCTTGGTCTCCACAAAAATCTTTTTCTGAATCTTTGTTAAAATACTGAACATGGTGTTCTTAGTAAGAGTATACATTTCTAATTTTGTTTGTGTTTCTATATATATTTCTAAGAAGAGAAAGAGTATGTATTTCTAATTTACCACATCTGAAGTTCACTGTGTTTCCTGTCTTGGGTATTGAAATATAGGATTTAAAGGAATAGCAACACAGACTGCAAACAGGCTTGCCTCAGGCTCAAATTTCTAGCATGAGTCTACCTGTTCTCAAATATGATAGCTCCCCTATGAATAAACCAGATGTTCAACACTCATCATGCAATAGCAGTCATGCATGGCTTCTGTAAGTCACTGTATCATATAATATGTGGAATGGAGCAGCAGAGAGGAAAATGAAAGGGACAATGAAACAACTAATAGAATTAAAAAGGTAATGTATGATCGATCAACTGGTGGAGCATGCAATTATAAGATATATTTTCAGGCAATAGTTTAAAGCTGTGCATTAATGATTGAAATATCTCTGTGAAAAATATCTAGCTACTTTACCTCCCATGGGACAAAGAAATGTGAGGGACATGAGCTTTCACGCCTCAGTGCAAAACACAGCCAATATCTCAAGCCAGTAGAAGCTGCTGACATTGTCAAGACTAGCAAACTTCTACCCTTAGGATTAGGTAAGTGAGCTTCACAGAACTATTTCATATAAAGATTAAATTTTTAAATAATTAGTAATACACACAAAGGGAAGAACTTGCTTGTGTGTGCAAGGTTTTAGAGAAAAAAACCCAAAAAATCTCTTCATGTGGTTTAATTCTGTTCCTTTCACTATCTGAACCTGAATCTGTCTGATTCTTCCACATATCTGTGGTTTTGTTTGGGAGAGTGATAAAGCTGAAACCACTCAAAATCTTCACTTGCTTAGAATATCAAAATTTGCTGCCCTGGCTTACAGATGAGTGTGATGATCAACCATTATGTCTTTCCTTGCATCCAAATTGTCCAAACACTGTCTTTTTGCTTTTTATATTTTGTTCAAAACTGAGGATAGGCTTGTTCCCTCTTGAAATTAAATACACAGGTGAGTGTTAAAGTAAGAGGGATGTGTCTTGCTTTTCTTTGTGAGGCTTCCCTGCCTCCAGTTTTCTAGGCAGTGAGATTTGGCCACTCAGAGAATTAACCTTGGTTCGGTTTCCTGGATGCTATATGTGTCCTGTCATGGACAGTGGGACTTCCCTGAAAACACTCATTGTCATCTATATGCTGGTGTCAGAAGCTCTAGGCTTCCTGCTGCTGTACCCCAATTCCCACAGATCCTAGACAGACCAGACTTTTGAAGACTGATCTCAGAGAGAAAGGATCTCTCAAGAAATACACACTTAGTCTTTTCAGGGAGCACCAGTGGCTGCTACAAGGGGTCATTCTGGCTTTCCCTTCATTACATCTCATCCATCAACTGTGCAGGGATACTGCCAAGACAGACTCCTATAGATTCAGGAGCATGCTAGCCTTTGGAAGAAAACATTCAGCCCTGGAAGATCTCCACTGTATAACAAGCTGAAGTATATCCCTATCCTGGGTATGAATGTCAGGATTTAAACCACTGCTAAAGATGCAACAATCAATGAACCTTATCGGCAGCACAGGACTCACCACATTCACTGGATAATGACACCGGCTAATACCAGCTGAGGCTAATTCACACGTGTTCCCGAAAACCAGAGTCACAGCAATTATTCCATGACAGATCATGTCAAACAGCATTAATCATGTCACACCCCAAAAAAATTCTCTCCTGGTTCCCCTCACAAGATTGTTTCATGTTCCCAAAAAGGCAAGTAAAGAAATAATAGGTCAACACCCTTCACACAAACGATAGTAGGGGACTGCATTTTTGTGTAGTGGTTTTAGCCCAAAGCTGCTAAACATAAAGCAGTATGCCAAATTAGTTGTGAGACAAAACAAACCCAAACAAGCAATAACCCCTTATCTTGAGATAAGAACTATTTTTAGGTTAATACACTCATCCAAGATGACTGCAGAAATGAAATAAAAAAACAAGTTTTCCTATTGATATTGTATCCTAGTAGAGGACAAAGAGGACATCACAAACAGAAAAGCAGGGGAATTAGGCAGATAACCTGTAAAGCAAAGGAGATAGATGAAGAATTATGGATCTACTTTGCAGAACCCCATAATTGTGATTAAACCTGATGTCTCAAATGTTTTCACAAAAGCACAGTTGCTAGGAATCCTGAGAGCTCAATGATGCTTTTCCCAGGGTGACTTTGATCTTCCCCATGTATGACCCAGACATTTCTAGCATAAGTCCCAGTGTTCAGCCAACACAGAGGTGCACAACTGTGCACATCATACTGTGATCTGCCCACACCTCAGCACTCATACAGCCTCCAGTCTTAGCAAAGCCCCTGTCCAGCTTTGTCAGTTCCTTTTGACTGACTTCAAAAAAGTAACTTCTAGAAGGACTCACTTTTATGAAACACATTTACATGAGTTTTGTATTAACAGTAGTGGCAGAGCAAGAGAGTGGTTGGCCATTTCTACCTAGATCCAACTGTTGCACCACTTGAGCCCTTGGTGTCCTGGACACAAAGAAAATGCTCTGTAGCTCTGGCCTTTCCTCATCATCACCAAGCTGCTCAATGCTATGGCAGAGCAGATCAGCTAGCAATGTGCTTTCAACCCACAAAATTAATCTCCTTGTTCTTTCACAATCTTTTAGAAAAAGGCAAGTCCTCTTACCTGTTTCAATATGCTGCAGAAACTCCTGTGCTGTCACTCTCTCATGAGGCTGTAGGATGGGCTTGTACAGCTGTCTGTTTTTAGAGCTGTTTTGTTTTAAGCAGGAGCATTTGCTTATCAGAGTTAAGCATTCCTTGATGCTTTGCACCAAGTCAGAGAACATCCTCTGAACAAAGCCTATGAAGTCCCGCAGGAGCTGCATGCATCGTCCACATAGCTGACCCATTCTTGTTCCAACAGCAGCACAAAGCAAGAAGAAAAGGAAGGAGATGGAAACAAAAGTTTCTTCTCAAATTGTCTGCTTTTTGCAGATTTAGCTTGTCTCCTAGCTGTTTGTTCTGTCTTACAGATATTAACACCACATCACGTGCAGATGCTGTAAGGCAGACAGACTTCTGTGTCCAAAAAAGTACATTTCACAAGGCTGGTTTCTGCAGATCTCCTAGAGTTCATAAATTATTATTTAAAATGATTGCACTGGAGACACACCTTTCTTTTGCTTGAAGAAAAATAAGATAACAACATAAACAGATTTCACGGAGAACAAATGGAGTTTAGGTCATGGAGCATCTACCAAAGTCTGTATGAGGCTAGAAAAACTGGGATAATGGGAAATGCAACCTCAGATGTGTTTGTAAGGCAGCTTTCCACATGAAAGGTAGGCACCACCTTGTCTGCATGTGTGCAAGCTGCAGCTACCAATTGGAGTGAGGAAGATTAAAAAAAAAAAAAAAGAGTAAGTGAACAGGTTTTTCCAGTTTTTGCTGAAGCACAGATCAGAACAAAGGAGCTGTTGGACAAACAACTCATAACTCAGTCACCTGAGACTTTGCAAATCAGCAAGAATAGAAAACTGGAGGGGGGAAAAAAAAAAAAAGAGACAGTGGCCAAATGAATTTAGCACTGTTTTCTTCCTGTCAAGCCAGTCCTGCTGAGTGGGCTGGATAAGTTAGCAATGGGAGGATGCAAAAATTATGTGTGGTTTTCATGCAGAAAGATGTGGTAAAAGGAAAATGTTCAGTTCTCCTTATGCTTAATTCACCAGTCTGGTGCATGTGCTCATTCTTGGCTGAAGAGTTTTACAAACCACCCTGGTTTAATCCTTGTAGAATGAGGTGGTATTTGTAATATTGAGGATTCCAGCAAAAACTGGTTTGATTCATGGTCACCTTAATTAGGGATCCTGTAGGTACAGGTCTACTGCAAGTTAATCACTTTTATTAACTTCTTATTCATAGATTTGGTGGATTTATTTTAACTATTGCATTTGATACATTTATTAGTAAGTTATTGCCTCTGTCCTTTAATAAATCTTTATTTTCTAAATAAATCATGTTTGAAAATCAACCCTTTGTTCTGCACCCATCTCCAAACACTCATTCACAGACTCACCCAAATTCCTCTGGTCTATCCAACCACTGCTGTTTTTTCTCTTGATGTAATTTTCCTAATCACAAATACTACTTGTCACAAATAAGCCTACCTACACTGGTAAACCAAAATGTATGACACTTCTAATACATAACGCAATTCATTACAAAGAATTGGGACTTTGATTTTTCTGGCTACTTCCTTGACCAGCTCTGCGAACCCACTGAGTTCTGATCTCTGTCTGGCTTCTGAATGTTATCAAAAGCAGGGCTAGTATGTCTATTTTCTCACCACGTTTTCTGGATCCTTTCAGTAGGGGTCTTCTAAAGAAGAGGGAACCCATGTGATTGCTAGGTCCTACTTCTGCCACCACTTGCTCTTCACCTTTGCTCATCATCTTCCACCCTTCAGCTTTCATTCTAAAAGACTGTTATCCATCACATGCTCCTTCTGTCTCTTGCTCTGTTCTGTCTAATAAACTGTAATGTTTAATTGTGAGGTTCTCTAAAGATAACTTGAACTGTACTGCACTGAGATGAGAAAACAACAGGACTGCTTCAATGAAACATTTGCTAGTAATGACTGCATTTCTGTAATGCTCTTACTAAACATTTCAAATGTATTGTGAACACTAAAAGAGTTCTCCAGCTCATCTGTAAAGAAGATATTCCCAAAATGGTTTAAAAACAAGTTTCAGAGGTGCCAAGCTCTTGCAACTGTTTTAGATAAGTGGGAGTTAAAGAAGTGCATGACACCTAAAAATTAGGCTATAATTTGCCTGTAGGCATAAAACTCAGGTGTCCTGATACATAGTTTGATGACTCAGTCAGGCAATTGTTCTTTGATTTGAAGCAACTATTTGAAAGCCAGTGTAGAAGGCTGGTTTGTGGATCTTCAAAAATACTCTGAAATCACAACAGCTGCTATAAATGTAAAGGTTGAAACTATAAATCAAATGTTTTTGATTGGTTTCTTGACCTTGATAGATTTCCTTATTAATTGAATAAAATGTCAGCTCAAATTTGCAGAAGAGGAAAAAAATAGTAGCATAATAATGTTAGACTATTTTGCTTTTATCCTTGTACAGAAAATGCCTTAAATAGTAAATGTCCTACACTCAACATCTTGATTTTTGTCTCCAAAGGGAAAAAAGAAATCCAGTACTTTGTAGAGTATTAAAAAAACCTCTCCAAACCATTTCCATTCAGTTTCTGTGCAAAAGAGCTTCCAAGCAGTAACCTTACTGTGTGGAGGCTGTTTGGAATTCTGTATAAAATGCATTTGGAAGTTTAAATCTATTTCCCAAAAAAATAGATGAATGCTGTAGCTAAATAGTACTTCCAATAGAAAGCTTCCACTGGTCCAGCTTTTAATCTGGAGTATAGCTTTATAGCTTCTCTGCAAATGACAGAAAATACTGCTTTTGGGCACAGTCCCTTAAGCACCTACTCATAGTAGGTTGTTTTGTTTTGACTCAAAAATAGAAAATGTAAAAAATACATTTAAAAATACACTTATACATTCTTATGCAGCATTTGAACTGCTTTCCTTTTAACAGAAATTCTTTTATCCAGTTTGCAATGGTGCATAATTTTTGATTGCTCAAGAGTTGACTGTCACTGGAAAGATGTACACAAATACTCTTTCTACTCCTCTTTCATGTGTTATGTTACCAAGCCCCCAAACACCCTCAGGCTCTGACATAAATATTGGGGGAAAAAAAGGTCAACTTTCTTTGAGCTATGGTAGTAAAAGTTTAGCTCCTAGGTCTGGATTTTAAAAATACTGTTATCTCTGTGGTTTTAATCAACGGGAAAAGGATTTTTGCAAAATGTAGGGGAGACTTGTGTAGTCTTAATTGACTCCTGTGCCAGTCAAATAAGAAAAACCATACTTAAAAGCTTAAAAAGCAGTAAATTGAAAGATTTTACATTACTCAAGAATCCAAAATCCTAAGAAATTGAACTAATTAAATTTGCATTTTATAAATTTGTCCCATGTAATTTTTTTATTGCAGCTTTGTCTTATACACATTTCTTTCATATTCTTCTCTCACTTTCCTGTTCAAGGGTGAGGAAAGCACTGTACAATTTAGAAAGATGTATGATGGCTGTACAATGCTGCTTGTTTAACAACAGATTTGACCCAAAAAGCTGTAGCTTCCCTAAGGCCCAGCAGGTTTTTGTCATCCCCATATCTGCAGTTGAGGCCTCCTCACTTGTACTAAATCAGTACTTTTTAAACTGGATCTATGAAATCTTTGTGACTATAAAATACCAACAGAAAACTAACAACAAATCAAAGGACTTAAGTTCTCAAAATGGACCTAACATTAACAGAATAGTAGAATAAAACACAGAATTTGAAAAAAAAAAAATATTGGGAAAGCAGAACAATTGTACACTCTGAGTCTGATGTGTACAATTTAGATTACCACTGAGCTTTTTAATATATATATATATATATACATATGCATATATGTGTGTATACATATATATAGATACAAAATATATACACATATATATAAATATAGAAATAATATATAAAAAATACATGTATGTATCCGTGTGTGTGTTCACTGTTACGAATTCAGGAGTTCAGCTGAACATAAACAGACTACAGTCATTCAAGCAGGGAGGAAGCCAGATGTGAGGACTTGATAGATCCAGATTTGTGAAAATCTGCCATTCACTGCGATTTCTGTTGAGTATAAAGGAAACTGTTCTCAACTGCATCTAATTCCTTGGCTGAAGTATTTGCCCATCCTCCTTCAGAGGGAGAGTGCCATCTACTGAAGCATTCCTTTACATAGTTCCCTTGAGCCTTGTCCCACTCACAGATTGACGAAATCCATTCAAAGGGTTTTGAGCAAGGTTTTAAAAGGAAAAGCAGCTGCTATAAATGTGATTCTCTGTTGTAAAGCACCAGCTGCATGTAAAGAACCAGACCAAAGACTTTAAATACAACCACTGACTTATGCAAGCTTGTGCTCCAGCTTTTGAAGAGATTAAAGACAACTCCACTCTGAGGTTTCTTCATTCCTAATACATCCTTGGAACTGAGATTACATTAGCATTTTGTAAGTCTTAGGAGTGATATTCCCTGGTTGGACAATCCAATTTTACTGACTATCAGCTATCAACCATGGACTTTCCTACCAATTCCTCCTTTCTCTGTTAATGTTTACAAGATGTGCAACTACTCAGCCAACGTACTGAACAGTGAGAACACCTGACAACAGTCACCAAGAGTCTGGCTTGGGCCAGTGATGACACAGTATTGTTGTGCTGCTTTATGTATTTTCCCATTGTCTTGAGCTTCATATTTCATTGTAAATTTTCTGGACTGCTGCTGTATTCAAATAAAGCAGCAGTTTGTGTCATGCCTAGAACTACTGTCTCCTATGATAATAATAAGCATATAAATTGAAATATTTTTGCTATTTTTTTTTTTGCTTTGTAGCAAAAGATAAATGTCTCTAAAACATCAAAGGCAGCCCAGAGATGCCCATGTACCTTAGAGGTTTGAACAAATTGTATTAAAAGAAAGTTAAATTTTACAAGGTAAATTACCACACAAAGTCATGAAGTCAAAGGAGACAAAACCTGTCAGGTTGTGTTTCATGTGAATATCCTTAGAAAACCACTGGTTTGATGTGTTTCAAACACAGGTGCCTGTCCTCATGCTTCTGCTACCAAGGGGTTCCACTGAAGGATCACACAGCCCGTAGCTCAGATGTCACACTTGGCAAGACAAGGAGAAAAACAAAACTTCGAAGGAACTTGCATTATTTGCCATCAGGCAAATATATTTGAAAAACTTTACAATACATTTTCAAAAACCTTCACATTATAG